TTTATTTTTTCTTAATTATGGTGCCCACAGTGGATATCTGTAATTTTGTTTGCTCAATAACCCTAGAGGTCCCAGATCAAGGTGTTGGCAGGATTCATTTCTTCTGAGACCTCTCTCCTTGGCTTGCAGATGGCATTCTCTCCCTGTGTCCTCATGTGGTCATCCCTCTGTGTACACTAATGTCTGGTGTCTCTTCTCCTGTTATAAGGACACCAATCATATTGGATTAGGGTCCATCCATATGACCTCACTGAAACTTAATTACTTCTTCAAAGACCCTGTTTCCAAACACAGTTATATTCTGAGGTCCTGGGGGTTAGAGCTTCAACATATAAACTCAAAGGGCACACAATTCAACCCGTAACAGAGCAACTCCAGAATTCATAACATCATGAAATCAAGGAGACAGACATCACTTCTCTGTGGCAGCTCTCTGGAGGTGGCTTTGGGGATGAGTCTAATTCTGTGGAGCCAATGGAGGTGGCACCTGCTCTCAAGGATCCAAAAGCCTAAAGCTCAACCTGACCAGTGGGGAAGTTCCTCACTACAGGCTCAGATCCAGTCCAATCAGTTGCCCACTGACTGGTGGCACGGGGCAAGACTCCTGAGTTCCTTCCTTATCTGCTTCTACCTGAAATGGGTGCCGAGTCACATGCATCCCAGTGTACCACCTGAGGGAACTTCCTCCCTAGAGCTGAAAATACCAACCACTGACTGATGCCTGGATGCAGGGCTGGGAGGTGTCAAGTTGAAGGTCTTAGATTTCTTTGGTGGCTTCAAAGACGCCTTCTAGAACCAGGACTTGGATTCATAGTGACAGATCATCTAAAGCAAAGCACTTAACTTCAGGATAACCTGGTTTTCCTCCTAGACTCACCAATCTTCTTTCCCTTCCTTTTGTTACACACACACACACATATGCACACACACACACACACACACACACACTTCTATCAGTATGTTAGTACTAGAAGCTCCTCTGTTTATCATCATATACAAGACTAGGAAAATCTGGAAATATTTTTGGTTGTCACAACTTGGGGTAGGGGTGCTATACTTGCATCTAGTGGATGGAGACCAGGGAAATTGCTGAACATCCTGCAATGCACAGGTCAGTCCCCCACAGAGAAGAACTGTTGGGCCCCAAATGGCAGTAGTGTGGAGATTGAGGAACTGGTCTAAGTGAAGATGGAAAGAGAACCCATGTTTGCACTTCAGTGGTTCCCAGCACCTGAGCAGTGCTTAGCAGAGGAGCCATTTCTGACCCTCTGAGTGACTAATGCCAGCGGGTCCTGAAGATGTTGGCACTTGTGTGTATTCTCTATCCTCTCTGTGATAGATGCTGCTCTAAGCCTGTGTGTGAGTAATCACTTTTCAGCATTCAGTACAGAATGTGGCACTAACTATGCCCCAGGCACAGGAATAGGCATGACAAGTAACAAGAGCAACAAACTACATTGGTTAATATTTATTGAAACTTGGCAGGCATTGTGCTTAGCATTTTATGTGAAGTCTATCCTATAATATTGCACAACCTCCCTGCATAGCAACCATTAACACAACCTCCACTTGCAGACGGGGAAGCCAAGGCCCAGGAAGGCCCAGTGGCTTGCCCCAGGTTGCCGTGCTTGTAAGTAACTGGTGGAAATGGACTGAAAAGCCACGTAGATGCGAGGGTCCGAGCCTGGCCACTGTGCTGCATGGAGAAAAGAAAGAGCTGTCCCTGGAATAAACTCTCTAGGTGGATTCATGACGCTTGATGATAATTTCCAGGAAATTTAATCCTGACAACCCAGTTTGATTTTAATTTCACAATTTTCCTTGCAAGTCCCAAATTCCAGCTCAAAAGAGTGGGGGCTTAAAGACTAGCATCTCCCTACATGAGAAGATCCGTTTCCCGTAGCTTATCAACGCAGGCTCTCCCTTGCCTCCCTACCGACCCAGGCAGCGGAGGAGCACCGTGGTGCAGCCCAAGGCCCAAAGAGAGAGAGGGCAGGGGGAGGAGTGTTTGACCAAAAGCGTGCTGGGACTCAAATGCCCATCACTGCCGCTCCCGGCTAAGGCTGGACGCCGAGAGCCCTGCGCGCAGCAGCCACTGGACTCCCACTGCCGCGCTCCGGTCACTTCCTTGTTAACCGCTGGAGGCTGCGTTTTCTCCCACTTTGCCGGGCAGCCCACCAGGAGCGAAAAGGCTGGTCTGGGAGGGGGATGGGGAGATGAAAACTTGGGTAGAGAAAGCTGAGTTCGAGAGGCACGATCCTGGGAGAACTGGACCTGCGTGGACGGCGCGCAGCCGTGGATCTGCGGCTTCTTCTGGGAGCAGGTGTCTGCGTAAGGTGGCAAAACTGCAGAATTGGGAGGGGATACGCTTTCGGTGGAGGTTCAGCCTCTTCACATCTCTCCACGTTCCGTTTTCATCTCTCCATCCTCGACACACCCCACCCCAGCTTCCCCGCGGGCCCATCTCCCAACTGCCTTTCTGGTCCTTCACCGCACCGGCAGTGGGCAGCGGGCAGCGGGCAGCGGGAGAGGCCCGCCACAGGGGCCTGTGGCCAGCCCCCTCCTAATCCAGGGAAGGAGCGGCCTCAGAACGAGCCCTCGGTCCCTGGGAGCCTTGCTGCCCCGCCGCTGGTCGAAGGCAGATTGGTGGATGGCGCTGGAGCTGAAGGATGCGAGACTTCACGTCACCACTCACGAAGGGCTGTCTGGCGGGGCAGCGTGCCAGCGACACAACACTGAGGGCGGGTCAGAGTCACGGATAAAAATTAGTTGGGGTTCTATGCCTTTAAGCACCTGGGCTTCCTGGGGTTGGCAAAACCCTTCCCGGGAGGGCGCGTTACTGGTCCTCGGCGAGACTGGGGTTCAGACTGATGGGGATGGGGGGACAGTACCGACAGGGAGGCGGACTGATTCTCATCTCTTTGGGGCGCAGCCCACACGTCTCGCTCTGGGAAGAACCTGGCGGGACCTCTCAGCGGGGAGCCGGGCGGTTCCTACCTTTATTCCCGGGAACTGGGAAGAGCGCTCCGCACTTAGCTTGATGTGAAGGAGACCGAAGGTTTTATAAATAAACCCATCTTGTGTTGAGCAAACCCAAACTAGAGCTCCTCTCTCCCGAGAAAGACGCGAGTCCGCGCTCCCCAGGGCGTGTGTGCGGGTGGGTGGGGTTTCTGGTAGGAAAAGAAGCGCCCAGCCTCCAGGACTCGGAATGGGAGTCCTGGGGCACCGTGAGAACACAGACGCGCTGCTTCCCACATTCAATGACCCAGCGGCAAAAATACCTCCCCCGGGAGGCCGAGCGCTTCCTGTCTCAGGAGCACCCCCAAACCCGCACCTCCTGTTTCTACTAGTCCCGGTGACGCGTAAAAACCCGCACATCTCTGCGCAAGGAGGGCGAGGGGATGATTCTAAGCTTCAGGGGACTGTGGGATGGTGACAGGATCCGGGAGAACAGGAGGTTCTGAGCCAGGCTCCGGCTCACAGGGCCCTTCTGGGGGATTCAGGCGCAGGATCGCTGTGAGTTCTAGGAATCGCGCCCCTGCTAGGTGCACGAAAGGAATTTACCTCAAAGCAAAGCGAGGGGCCTTCCCGAGAGCAGGCCGCGCCAGCCGGCAGGGAACCTGTCTCTAACAAATCGTTAGCAGTCGGAGCACTGCGAGGGACAGGGTTCCTGAGCGGCCGCGGGATGATCTCTGCCCTGGGGATGGAGGTCGGCACAGCCAAACCCAGAGGGCTCTGCGGATGAGGGCTGGGCGTGAGGGCTAGGGGTGAGGACCCGGTTGTAGGCGGAGGGGGTTACAGGTGTTAAGATCTGAGGCACAACGCGGGGAGGGACGGCTCCTTCCCCGGGAGCTCAGCTCTCTGCCCTCGAGATGCCTGTGAGCCAGACCCACCCGAGCTGGATGGAGACCAGGGAGCGCACGCGGCCAGCCCAGCGGAGTGTCTGGCGGGCTGAGCGGGTAGAGACGCAGAGCAGAGCGCGCACCTGCCGCCCCCTCCCTGCCTCGCCCCAGCTGGAAACCCGAACCCAAGCCAGAGCCCGTCCAGTCCACTGTGGAGGCCTCGGGATCCAGAGCCTAGTGGATTTCTAAGAAAAAAAAGTTTATTTTAAATTTCTTACAGAAATAAATAAATAAATATCTTCTGGTGTTACAGAGACCGCACAGTCACACAGCCAGGCCTGGGCGGGGCGGGTGGGGTCTGGGGTAAGAGAAGGGATTTCACAGGAGGAGAGCTAGAGCCGCTGGGGGAAGGCAGAGCACCCCCCCCCCAACAAAATTAATTCGGTTTTCCCCGACCTGAATATCGAGGGCGACATTTCTCTTCTGGAAGAGGAGCTGGGGGACAGCAGGGCTGGCTGAAGGAGAAGTGGGCTGGCTGGACTTGGAGGCTCCGAGGCCCCTCGAGGAGGGGCAGAGAAAGAAAAGGAAAAAACAGGGATTCATAAGTGTGAGGGTTGGGATAAACGACCACAGGAAGGAGGTGGGGAGGGAGAGAGAGAGAGAGAGAGAAAGAAAGACAGAAAGAAAGAAAGGAAGAAAGAAAGAAAGGAAGGAAGGAAGAAAGAAAGAAAGAAAGAAAGAAAGGAAGGAAGGAAGGAAGGAAGGAAGGGAACAGACATCCTAGGGGTGAAAGGCTGGGCTTGACCCAGGGTGGGGGAGAGTAGAGGAAGCGAGGAGCCCTGAACCAATTCAGAGAGTGCAGGCGAGGAGGTGCTGAAGGCCCGCAAGGCGCTGGGCCGGGCTGCGTGCCTGCGGAGGCCGCTGTGCCGCGTGGCTGAGAAGGACTCGGGCTCTTGCAGTGTTCACAGCTTGGAGTCCGTTGTGAAGGGCCACGGGCCCTGGGATGGGGATACCAGGGTCTCTGCCAGCTCTCAGGGCCCCGGCCCTCCGCAAAGCGTTGCCAAATCCGTGCGCGGTCGCCATTTGGCCGCGGCGTCCGAGGATCCGTCTTTGAGGCTTACGAAGGGCCTGGGGTGGGAAACCTGGGGAGTCACACGTCTAGGGAGTGACCGTGAGATCCCGGTCGTCTTTCCCCGAAGAAGACGGAGACATGGGCAATTCTTCGTCATCCTCTGAGCACTTGGCCGAGGACAGTGACGCGCACTTGCAGCCTTGCGGTGCGCCCCCGCCGGCACCGGCGTTCCCGCCACCGCCACCGCCGCGGTGGTTGCTGCCTTTGCCCTCCTTCTTGTGCTTCACCCTGCGATTCTGAAACCAGATCTTCACCTGCTTCTCAGACAGATTCAGGTAGGTCGCGATCTCGATGCGGCGCAGGCGGGACAGGTACATGTTAGAGGCGAACTCGCGCTCCAGCTCCAGCAGCTGCGTGCTGGTGAAGGCGGTGCGCATCCTCTTGCTGCTGGGCAGCTGGTTTGAGCTGCTGTCTGGGGGAGTGGGGGTGAGAGAGGGAAGCGATCAGACCGTGCGCTGTGAGCCCGAGCTTGTTTGGCGGACTTTAGGATCCCAGGACTTTGGTCTATCACCCACCGCTTTGCCCTAACGCAACACACAGCGGCATGACGGCGGGCCCCTCCTTGTCAAGCCC